GTTTTCAGGCTCCCAATAGCAAGAAGCAAGTGGAATGGAGCAGAAGATACAGTGAGTGTCTAAAATGTCATGATGATGTCAGCCACAATGGTACGTTGCACACGTGACACACATCAAAAACTATGGAACTTTGATTGCACCATTGTGGCTGCCATCTAAATTTTTTTGACCACACCCTGAGGACATCTATGGAATGGAGTAAGTATTGAAGGTTTAATTCCCTGTTCCTTTTTCTGTCAATCTGCTATGAGATTCCAAATTTTAGCTCCATCTTGATTCTCTCTCTCTCTCTCTCTCTCTCTCTCTCTCTCTCTCTCTCTCTCTCTTTCTTTCTTTCTTTCTTTCTTTCTTCCTTCTTTCCTTCCTTCCTTCTTTCTCTCTCTCTCTCTCCCTCTTTCTCTTTCTTTCTTTCTTCTCCAAAGTTTCAAAGGCTCTATATCTGTTAAAATGATGGAAATAGTAGGAACCAAGATCCATTTCTTATCCCTTCTTAAGTTTCTTTAATTTGCCTTTTCTTTCAGTCCACATAAGGAGCTTGCTCATTAACCTTTGCTCTGGCTAGATGCCTATTTTCGAGACCATTCACATATACACAGACACAACTTTCTCTCCAACAGGGTGGATACATCTGAAAAGATCAACCCAAATCCCTGGATCTTTAAGTGGATTCTCTGGACTAAGTCCAGACTCCGTTCCATGCAGATCACAAAAGAGGAGTCAAATCTGGAAATCTGCATTTTTACGCCACCGGTAAAAGGAAATTGAGGTAATTTTCTTTCTGGAAAGGATGGAATTGAGCGAACAACCGAAGCTGATATTAGTCTCCCTTAGTCACTATCTGTGTCTTGGAGACCAAGGATCCAGAAGTGTCCTCATTTTCTTCTGGTGTGCCAGAATGATGGCTGCCTCTTCTCCAAAGGTAACCTCTCAGAACGCCATCTGCCCAGATTCAGTTGGAGTACATCGTGCACATACATTGAGCTCACATGAGAAAATTTCTAATCTTCTGCTTAGTTCAATCAATCAGAATAGAGCTGGAAGGGACCTTGGAAGTTTTCTAGTCCAACTCCCTGCTCAAGCAGGAAACTCTATACCATTTCAGACAAGTGGCTGTACAATCTCTTCTTTAAAATCTCCAGTAATGAAGCACCCACAACTTCTGAAGGCAAGCTGTTCCATTGCTAATTGTGTCTCTTTGTCAGGAAATTTCTCCTTAGTTCTAGGTTGGATCTCTCCTTGGTTAGTTTTCACCCAATGCTTCTTGTCCGACTTTCAGGTGCTTTGGAAAATAAGTCGACCTCACCCCTAGTCCTTCTTTTTCTCTAGACTGGCCATACCCAGTTCCTGCAACCGTTCCAAAAGTTGAATTTATATATTTCTTTTCCTTCCCAGATCACTTCCCTATCCAGTAAGCACTTGAGCCAACACATCAAGGAGCCCATTTCTTAAAACATGCATAAACCATTTTTTAAAAGCCAGGTGAAACATGCAATTAATGTAATTGATCAATAAACCCCAGTATTCAGAACAAAATCAGAGTGGCATTAATTTCTGAGATTCTGGAGGGAAAGTATCTTTTTATGGCATCCAAAGCCACCAAAAGGAGGAATCTAGTCTGGAAAAGTACAATCTCCACCAAAATCCTGCTCCCAAGCCGAAATTCTGACCGCATCCAGAAATAAAGGGATAAAACTATATACACAATGAAGAACTGTGAATTCTCCAAAATAGAATCACTAAAGGAGATACCTTTGAATGTCCATTCTCAACTTTTCTGCATCCCCAAATATCACATTCATGTTCAGAGCTCAAGGTCTTAAAAGAACAAAACCATTGTTTCCCCCTTGTTTTGAATCCAGCTGCCAAATTCCTTACCTAGAACTGCTGTCAGAGTGGCCAAAACCCTCAGCATGGTTGCTAGCATTTTCCTGCGCAGGATAAGAAACAGAAGATGCTTCCCTCAGAAAGAGCAAATTCAAAATGGAGTTGTCGAGATACGGGCTCTGACTTATCAACTAAGCCAGTCAACAAAGAGTTGACTCCTTCATCCATTATCAGATATCCCCAACTACCTGTACAATTAGCTCAGCCGAAACAATTTTCTGAGGTGTGGACTATTGAAATATTTGTTAATCATAAACTAAGGGCACAAGGAGGCATCTATGGCTGGATGGTTGCACCCTTAAAAATACAAAACTTTGATAGTGACTCTTCCCAACCTTCTTTTCAGTTGAAGTTATGTGCATGGCACATGTTGCTTTTGGTATTTTATTTCCATTATACCACTGTTTTTCCTGTGCATGTTTTCTGTTTGGTTTAGCTCTTGAATCAAATGTTGCATTGCCTTATGTAGGTCTGAGATGAACAATCTTTGAGGAAGGGTGTTTGAAGAGATGAATATAGTGAGCAGAGGCATAAGTTAAATGGGTATAATCATATCCCACCTCTGAGAGAGGCCTGCTTCCTTCCTTTTCCTTCCTTCTCCTTCCTTCCTTCTTTTCTTCCTTCCTTCTCCTTCCTTCCGTCTCCTTCCTTCCTTTCCTTCCTTCCTTTCCTTCCTTNTAATTGTCTCCTGCAAACTCCACTCCCCTTTCGCTTCTCTTTCATTTCCTCTGGGAGAGACCATTCATCATCCACCTGTGGCCTTACTCCCAAATCAACCCCTGTTCCTTAGCTGTTCCCTTCGTCTGGCAACTCCGTGTATGCACACACTGGGAACAGGCTCCAGCTGTTTTTCTGCCTCACTGATGACTGACTCCGAAGGCAGCTGATAACTGTCAGAGGGCTCTGGCCCCCCCTCTGCCTCCAACACAGAGCCCTCATCTGAGCCTTCCCCAGACTCCAGGACTGGCCCATCTTCCTCCCCAACCTCCTCACTGTCTGAATCTGCTGCCAGCTCTGCTGGCTGCTGGCGGGCCACAACCAATATAACAAAAATATTCATTATATAATGTTTACAGCATTATGTATTTATACTTTTTGTGGTGTTGCTTTCTCATTATTCTGCTCTATCGAAAGGCATTTTTTAAAATAACATGGCTGATGCAAATATCATTTGCAGAACATTTTAAGGTCAGGAATCCCCCTCCTTATAGATGCGTCTTGATTACATTTGTGAAATTGAGAGTCTGTTGAGGGGGGGAAATGAAAAAAGAATAAAGATGATGGAATAGAACCTTGGTAATGAGGACGTGGCAAGGCAGCAGCCCTGGCTGCAAGGCAAACCAGATAGGAATCACAACCAGATGATCTAATTCTATTGTATTCTAAAGCTATATGAACAGAACATTGCAAGCCTGAACTCTGAAGGTACATTTCTCCCACTGTCTTTTTTTATAGTCTGAGAACTTAGGTGCCTCCCAAGTCTCTTGTTCTGCCCATTTCAAAACTGTTGGCTACGTAGTGTTCTATCAGATTGTTCCCTAAGCATCTTGTCTTCCTGTCTTCCGAGGTCTTTTCCCTCAACCAACCGTGGTTCTACTTGATGATGTAATGTGGGTCCATGCGAAGTATACAAACCAGATCACATCAGGCAAAGCAGAAACCTCCCTCCCTCCCTCCCTTCTTTATCCCTTACCTCCCCTCCCTCCCTCCCTCTTTCCTTTCCTTCCCTTTCTTGTTTCCTTCCCTTTCTCCTTTCCTTTCCATCTCTCTTTTCCTTTCTCCTTTCTTTTGCATCTCTCTTCCTTTCCTTTCTTTTCCTTTCCTTCCTTTTCCTTCTCTTTCTCATTTCCTTCCCTTTCCATCTCTCTCTTCCTTTCCTTTCCTTTCTTGTTTCCTTCCCTTTCCCATTTCTTTTCCTTTCCACCTCTCTCTTCCTTTCTTTTCCTTTCTCCTTTCTTTTCCATCTCTCTTCCTTTCCTTATCTCTCTATTCCTTGCCTTTCTTTTCCTTCCCTTTCTCCTTTCCTTTCCATCTCTCTCTTCCTTTCTTTTCCTTTCCATCCCTTTCCCTTCCCTTCCNCTCCTAATTTCCAGATTGAATCTCTCCTTGATCAGTTTCCATCCATTATTCCTTCTCTGGCCTTCAGGTGCTTTGGAAAATAGCTTGCCCCCCTCCTCTCTGTGACAGCCCCCTGCTCAATCCTTAGGAAAGGAATTGAAAAATAAATCTGCTTGTTATGTCACCAAGGCCTCCTTCATACTTAGGCTGCAACCATTTTGTGCCATTTTGCTCATCATGTTTAAAGGACCAGCTTGTAGTAAATTAGAAAATATGAAGGGCAAACTTTTATAGAATAAATTGTGAAAATCTAACCTCACTCCCATCATTTTCTCTCTCCAGAGGGCTGGATTATGGAACTGGCTTCCTGAAAGCCCCTGAGGAAAGATGGGCATGTTAACAGACCAAACCGCTTAAGGTTTAAAGGAGGACCAGAAGCTTCTCATACTTTCTCCATCCATTTGTGATAGACCTTCTCAGTAAAAACAGGCAGGCACCTCGTCTGCTCTGCTCAAGAGAGAGTGTGTATGGCAGCTCTTATCTCACGATAGAGTGGAAAGTCTTACAGTTCGGTTCCAGGCACTGCTTGTTAACAATAGATGTGTATACTGATACTGACCACGCAAAACAAACAGCCCCATTCTAAATCAGCAACGTTTAAAGAGTAGCATGAATGAAAATGGAGTCCTTCTGTGCTCCTCTGGACAGGTTCAGCCTTCAAGGAAAGTAGAAGCTGGCATTTCTCAGCCTGACAGCTAAGCCTTGGAAAACATTCTTTTGTTTAGAAACAGGCCCATTGTAAGGAGAGCAGCGTCCCTCCTCTCATTTTCAGCTGAAGCACAAATGTTCACAGAAGTGGGTGATCCCCTGGATTTCTGAAAAGAACCAAAAGTGCCATCGGATTTCTGCAGGGAGCAAAGTCAGTTCTTGGTGTCCAAATTAAGTTCCAGGACTGATTGCCTTCCTGCTACCCTCCCCATTCATCCCCTCTCTTCACGCTAGAAAAATAAGCGAGTTGTTCTCAGTATCTATGCTAGGTTCCTGTAATTGTATGTGGGAATGACTGGGGAGGCTGGCTACGGAATAATCAAATAAGAGAGGGCACAGCCCACAGCAGGGGTCGGCAACCCTAAACATTCAAAGAGCCACAAAGGTCCTAACCAGAAGCTCCCTCCCCATTCAATTCTGGAGCTGACCGGAAGTCCAGTTCCCCCATCATAGCCTCCTCCTAGGGGTAGCATCCTTTTTCCTCTACCTGTCCTAACCAAAAGCCCTATCAATTGTGGAGCCAACCAGCAACAGGGAGCCACAGCAGAGGGATAGAAGAGCCACATGTGGCTCCAGAGCCGCAGGTTGCTGACCCCTGGCCTACAGCAATGAAATTAAAAGACCCAGCTCCTTGGGAGGAAAGCTATGGCAAACCTAATCACCATATTAAAAAGCCAACACATCACCATGTAGGCAAATTACTACTGGTTTTCCCAGTTGCAATGTACGACTGTGAGAGTTGGACCAGCTGAGTACATGAAGGATTCATGCTTTTGAATTGGGGTGTTGGAGAAGGCTCTTGAGAGTCTCCTGGCCTGCAAGGAGGTCCAATCAGTCAATACTAAAGGAAATCAACCCTGATTGTCCTTTGGAAGGACAGATACTGAAGCTGAAGTCCAAATACCTTGGCCACCTGATGAGGACTCCTCAGAGAACACCCTGATTTCGCACAAGACGGGAGGCAAAAAAGAGAAGGGGGCAGCAGAGGATGAGATGGTCAGATAGTGTCATCAACACAATGAAAATGAATTTGGGCCAACTCTGGGAGACAGTGGAGGACGGAGCACCTGGGTTGCTTTAGTCCATGAGGTCACCAAGAGCCAGACATGACTTAGCAACTGAACAACAACAAAAGCCCACAGCTGCACAGTGTATGGAGGTAGAGGCTCAGAAGGGACCTTCCTTAGCTTCTCAGTCTGTAAAAGAGACGGCAGGAGATTTATACTTTTAGGCTTGCACGATTCTGCTAATGTAGCTTTACAATAAAGTAGAATTAGCTTATCTAGCCGTGTTTCCTGTCTGATTCACCTGGTAAGGCTGAGAGTGCCATAAGTCGGATGTGCAGTCCATCTGGTCTCCCCACCCATCCTAAAGAGTCCCTGACCTTGTCCCCAAATCCCGTCCCTTCTGGAAATTCCTTCCTGACTCCCATCCTTGCTTGGAAAGAATCCAAAAGCCTCGTGTCTCCTGTTCAAGGGGATTTCTGTTTTTCTACCTTAATTTTAGTAAGGTTTCTTTCCAATTGAAATTGTGATTTTTGAGATGAATCTACTCTGGAGTGGTTCTGACCAACTTGAATATCTGTTTGGTATTTTTAGATAGACAATGGAGATTACTCCATTGACAAAGTCATCCAATGAACTTGTCTAAGTTTCAAATATGGATCTCCTCAGGACTGGTCCAATACATAAATCAAGATTTCTCATTCTTGACAACTTGTGGATTCTCAAGGTCCAGAACTAAATTCTGGGACTTGAAGTCTACCCATCTTAAAGTTGTCAGGGTTGAGAAACAGTGCACTAGACCTAAATCCCATAGCAGTTTGGTGGAAAATGATAGTATAACCACTTTCTCCGAAGGCATTCTAATAAGATCCAGAACCACGTCTTCTAGCAAAGCATTTTGTAAAAATCCCTGCCACCACCTTCCTATACTATGTATAGTTTACTAGCTGCATACCCATGGTTCACGATGAAACTATGTGACCGAGCAATGCAGGAGAAATCCAGTTCACTCCAGTTCAATTTGTTGGCTCAGTGGCGGTCGGTGATTGAAACACATAAGGGAATTTTCTCCTGCCACCTTGAGTCCAAAACAGTTCCATAGGTGGAAGGCATAGACATTATGGTGAGGTACTGACGTTTAGTACTGTAAGGAGCCCCAGACTGCTCCTTAGTGAAGGAGTGCAACATCTGTCAGTTTAAACTGAGGTAATGGAATGTGAGGCAACTGACAGTTGGAACAGAGTTCTTTTCAAGTGGGGAGGGGGAGTAGAACTCCTTAGCATCAGAGCGTGTTAATT